ATATATATCCAAAACTACTTTTATACAACATTTGAGCTGTTTCCCCTGGTTTATTTTGGCTTGATGCTGTTAGAGATGTTTCACTGCTTTTACAGTGATAAAGAGTGTACTATAGTCCCTTATACCTTCTTTTGAACTCTTTTTCTGGATGGTCACACAGACTTGAGATTTTATTATGCTGTAACCCTTTGTTTATAGTCCAGGGGTTTTCCTATTTCTTCCTCTGGCCAGATTGTTATTATCTTCTCCTTAAGAGCAATAACCTCTTTTGACTTGCTTGAGGGACCTCTGTGCCTCCTCAGACCTTTTGTTCAAATCCCTCTCTTCCAGAAGAACTGTCTCTGTAAAATGGTTAATCAGCTTCCATACTGAGAATGTCTAATTCTCCACTCAAGTAGTATTTCTGTGTTTCACACAAGGAGATTTCTCTACTCCTTGAATAGGTGAGGTTTTGACATTTCTTTGCCAGACTCAGGCCCCAGTCACACGGAAGGTTTTCGCCCGGGAGAGGGACGGATCGGGGGTGCAGCAAACGGGCGCGAGCACACTGCAACATCTGGGAATCGGCGTGCACCCATCCCCAATCCGTCCCTTCAAGCCTAAAGCATGCATAAAAAAAAAAACCTGCAAAAGACCAAGACTTACCTGGAACGCCGCAGCAAGTGCGGCTGTGGGATCGCCAGCACGCTCATCTTTGGTAGCAATCCTGGCTCCCGGCCGAACTGCGCAAGCGCACACATGCACAATTCAGCTGCCTCGCTCTTTCTTCAGTGGCTTCCCCCGGCATCTGATTGTGCCGGGGAGGAACTGCACGGCGGCTCAGAAGATCTGTGTGATTCCGCCGCTGCATGTCTCTTTTGGTGCGGCTTTCAAAAGCCGCACTTTGCCCACAGCAATTCCCCCCCTCCCCCGTGTGGCAGGGGTCTGTCTCCACCCAAAGTCTGTTATTTGTAGAGGCCACAACACACTTGCTGTGCTCCAGACAGGGCTTATCAGATCCTTTTTCTCTTCAGAGTCCCTCACTAGGAGTGTTCTGTTAACTGCCTCGCCTAGCTCCAACTCCAAGGGACCCACTCCAACTGGCTAACTAACTCCTTCCCACTTGATTTTTTTTAAACAGCTCAGTGTTCCAATTCCACATTAAGCTGCCTTCACCCAATCAGAAGGAGCTCTGTGAGTTGTCGATCATTTTTCAGCTAGCTCACCCTTTTTCCAGCAGCATTGTCTAAAAGCCTGCAGTGGCTTGCTGTCCGTCACAGTTGTGAGACTTTTCTGTGCAATGCCTGTTATAACTTGGAAACAAAGGCCAATTTGGGATAGACCATTAATTCTAATTAACACACCTCTTCCAAAAAATGAAGAAAGAACTCAGACTATGATTTCTTATGTGGTTGTATGTTGTTCAGATCCCTGTCACTTGCCTGGGCGGAGAGGATTTTGTGGTGCTTGTCTTATGGGACACCCTTGTGTTTGTTTGTTCAATTTAGACCCCACCCTCCCCGCCAAAGCGGGCTCAGGGTGGCTTACATAAGAGATAATAAATAACAACAAATAAACAACACCAGTACAGAGCTGCCACCGAAAAGGCCCTGGCTCTGGTTACGGCCAGTCTGGCGTTTGTAAGATTCATGGTGCTTGTTTTGGAAGGTAGCCTTGCTCAGCATTATAGAAAGGATGTTGACTAACCTCACCACTCTCACATTCCTCCCACTGCCATGTTCCTCCTTTCTCTCTGTCTGTTTGAGCTCCAAATAAGGGTTTGTGCAGAGGTACTGCATGTGGGTAGTTGTACGGCTGATCTAAAGTATGTCAAGATGAAGCCCAAGAAAAAGCAATTCTGATCCCAGGTTTTTGTAACACAATGCCCCCCCCCCAAAAAAAAATGTGCAGCTACCAAGACAATCACCAATCTGGCTCACAAGGAATTTCCCCCACCCTTTATTCCTTATTCCTGGACGTGATTTCACATACTATGGTTGTACATTGACGGTTTGCACTTGCCTTGAACTGTGTCAGACCACTGCTCTCTCTAGTCCACTTCTGCCTTCTCTATTGGTCAGGGGCTCTCTCTTACTCCTGCTACCAAGAGATATTCCTCCCACTGCCATGTTCCTCCTTTCTCTCTGTCTGTTTGAGCTCCAAATAAGGGTTTGTGCAGAGGTACTGCATGTGGGTAGTTGTACGGCTGATCTAAAGTATGTCAAGATGAAGCCCAAGAAAAAGCAATTCTGATCCCAGGTTTTTGTAACACAATGCCCCCCCCCCAAAAAAAAATGTGCAGCTACCAAGACAATCACCAATCTGGCTCACAAGGAATTTCCCCCACCCTTTATTCCTTATTCCTGGACGTAAGTGACTTCACATACTATGGTTGTACATTGATGGTTTGCATTTGCCTTGAACTGTGTCAGACCACTGCAGTCCCTCTAGTCCACTTCTGCCTTCTCTATTGGTCAGGGGCTCTCTCTTACTCCTGCTACCAAGAGATGCTGAGGACTGAACCGTAGGCAAACCACAGTACAACATCCTCCTCCCCATGGGCCGGAAGAAACTGGCCACAATTCCAATGCAATTTCAAGGGCACTTGAATCCAACTTGAAATCAGCAAGCTAAAGCATATGTGATCCTGCTGCTCTGAAGACTAACATCTGGCCCTGAAGTCCACAGAGCTGGGCTCAGTCAGAGATTTCTGAGTGCCAGTTGTACAGACTGGCAGCCGTTCAACTCTTTCTACAAGAGACAGACTTGTACCAGTGTTCCAGAACAATACTGAGGTGAGATTGTAGTCCCATCAATGTGAATGGGGCAATTGATACGTGTGCTGGGAACTGGTATTGTACCTTCATGACTGTGGATGCTTTCTCAGTAAACGCTACTGTAAAAGGAAGTCTAGGACCCCAGTCACACAGACCAGATAATGTGGCGGGGAGGCGTGGCTGTTCACCCCCGAGCAAAATAAAGCGCGGTTGCCCAACCACACGGTCCCCCGAGTCTCTGTGCTTAGGCTGTTAGCTGGCGGTCACACGCCGATGCTGCAGCATGGCAAAGCAGCAGCATGGTGCGATCACACAAGCGTTTTGCATTCGTGCGCATGCGCAGTTCCACGGAGCAGCACTGCTTTCAGTTTCGTGTTTGTGAACATGCACTTATGAAACACATCCAGTTTGCATCGGGACTTGGACAGACGCCGAATGCCACAAGATACTAGCGCTCCCATGATCAGACGCCCGCCTGTGCCACGCGTTTTCCGGATACTAGTGCACTTTCCTTGGTACTTTTTAACTCCGCATCTTCGGCGGGATGCCACAGGTTGGCCATGGGTGTGCTACACTTCCCAGATGTTGCAGTGTGATCGCGCCCCAAAAATCTGCCCAACATTCATGACTTTCACGTTGCAAATTCTCCATGTGAGCGGGGCCTAGGTTCCACACACACACACGCAGTTTATTCTCAAGCAACAGAGGGGGGAGTATCTTACATTTGCATACAACTTACAAGTATGTACAGTAATTTTAAAAAATTCTGTGGCTGCGCAGCATTTGGGAGGTGGGGTTGTCATAGAGGAGGCAATCAGTCTCATCAAAACGGAAGGAGGCAGGTGAAAGTGGAAAAGGAGCAATTCAGAAGAAACAAAGACAGAGACAGACTGTTGTAACTTGGCTGAAGCTCCCAGGGGTGACAGGATCTCTGTCACCAGGGATCTGGTGTCGGGTGGTGAATCAGCTGCCCAGTAGGAGTCCCTATATGCCACCACCTGTGCTCTACTTTGTCTTTGTAAATAAAGGAATTACTACCAAAAATGGTATAGGTTTCCAGAGCTGTCTCCTCTAGAGGAAACTCATCTGGGTGAAGCGCTACCCTGGGACTTCCACCAATGGAGGAAGCAAGGAGGATATGGCAATACATGGCAGAAAAGACTCACTATTGTGCTCTTGTGAACAAGGGTCTCCAACGGTAGCTCATGAGTTTCCAGTAGCTCTCCGGGGGCTGCAAACTTACTTCTGGTCACTGGGTGTGTGGAGGGGAGGTATTTGTGAATTTCCTGCATTGTGCTGGGGGTTGGACTAGATGACCCTGGAGGTCCCTTCCAACTCTATGATTCTATGTTACTGTTCATTCAACCAATGCCATCAACAGGAAACACAGCTAAAATACTAGCAGGGTTTAGAGGTCCAATGAGCTATCACTCACTTAGTGACCTGCAAAGTCATTTTTTTTTTGTTCTTTGTCACTGAGTAACTGCAAAACGTTGACCTCCACAGAAACAAAATGCTTTCCAGTCAACAGAAATATCAGCTTACTTCTAGCATCTGAAAATCAAGGGCCTTCAAGAAGAATATGATTGATGGTATCAAATGTCTCTAGTCCAATTGGGCACATAATCTACCAAAGCATGATATACCAAAGTACCTTCCTGTCACAACTGCTGAAAGAAAGGCATTTTCAGAAGTGGCCAGCATAAGAGAAAGAGTACAGTTAAAACCAAAAAATACTTTTAGGATATTCGGGGGGGGGGGACCAGGTGCTGCTAAGGAACTTGTGCATCCCCCAGGAGAACCAATAAAAGATTTTTAAAAAAATATGCTCTAGACTTTTAAATAAGTTTTTATTTCATGGGGTTTTTCTTTGGGTTGCTTAATTGTTGTGATAGCTTTGTTTCTGGAGCTCTTTCTAGTCCATAGTTTTTTTTCTACAACAGAAAAACTTTGCTGGGGGGGGAGCAGCTCAGGATATTTTTCATGACACTGAACTAGCTCTCACTAAAGAAAAGGTTAGCAACCCCTGTTAATTTGAAGCATTTCCTACATCTTCCAGCCTTTCTGCCTCCCCGCCCTTTCCTCAAGGCCCCAACGAAAGCTTATAAGAAATGCCCAGAAATCAAAGCAAGACAAGAACGGATAGTGTTTGCGTGATTTGACTTTATTGATTAAGCTCAGTGGTAGCCCACTAACTTGGAGACACGGCAGAGTGATGAGAGGAACTGCTGGTATCTTTTGTTTGAAAGCATCCTCCAATGTCAGAGAGGGCTTGTTCCACCGGACATCAGCTTTCATTTCGACTTTTTGCTGCAAAAGCAACAGACCAAGAAACAAGATATTGAGATGAGATAGAGCAGTTCTCTGACTCAATAGGGAATCAGGAGGTTCATGTTGAATGGGACCACATACATGTGATCCTTTTAATAGAACTTATTAAAAGTTGGATGGTGCAGGCACTGAGGCTGTAAGATAGTATACCAGCCCTGTCAGTGCACCCAGAGAAAGTAAGCTTTCCCCATTGAAAGTGAAAGCAGCTTATAAGGCAAGTGGAAAGGGCGAAGGGTCCTTCTTCCCCCATCTCACTGGTTTTCCCAGACATTTACACTTCTTGGCTTGAGGAAATGATCCGTGCACTTACAGAACCATTTCAAAGTACTGGGATCATGAGTCAGACTCAGAATTGGTCAGACTACACATCAGACACAATTTGGCATAGAAGCCAAGCCCATGAGCTGGCTGAGGGAGCAGAGATCCCGTTTTGATGGTGCTATCCTATCTGATCAAATTCCCCAATCATCCCTAAAGAGATCCAGCCAATTATAGAGTGTTGCTATTGTTGAACAACCAATGGGGATATTCGGGCTGGTTCTTCAAGGCTAACTTCCTCCAATTGGATGCAAACTTCTAAAGTTGATGGAATGCTCCCATTAAGCAGCCAGCCTATTACTGCTGAGGGTCAAGGATGCCTACCAGTAAGGACCCATGTGGGCCAACCTACAGTTACTGTCTTGGCTGAGTTCAGCTCAAAGTGCTGTTCTGAGCTGAAATCAGGGAGAGAAGGAGGAAAGATGTGCCCAGTCACGCCATTGAACAGCCCAGCAGTCAACACTGTTCCACTTTTTACCTCCCTCACCAAAAGCTAATTTTGGGGTTGTGAGAGGAGCATGAGGGTGGAAGTTGTACATCAGAGATTTGCATGGCCACCCCGGAAGCATCTCCTATCGTTCTGGTTTCTCCAAAAAGCTAATTTTTGGGTTGTGAGAGGAGCATGTGGGTAGAAGCTGTACATCAGAGATTTGCATGGCCACCCTGGAAGCATCTCCTATCGTTCTGGTTTCTCCCAGAAATGCCCCTTCCTTTCCTTGGGAAAGATCTGAATCTTTTTGCAATTCTGTCACTTTGTTTTCTCTTCTAGCTCAGAGAGATGAAACGTTAACATCTGGCTGTTTGACATATATTTACTCCACACATGTGCACACACCAGCTACAGGAGTTTTGCTAGGTATCAACTATCTCCCATCCACAAAATGGTTACACTACTCTGAGTTTCTTCTGGACTACTCTCTTTGCTGTGTCATGATGTGTATCATTAGGGGATAAGGGGAGATCGTAGCTTTATACCTCAAGTTTCCTTCAATAGCTTGCTGCAAAAACTTCATTGCTAAATCTTGATCCATACTTTTTGAAACATCGCTGGTATATGTGCCGTCGCTATGTCGCTTAATCCTGGAATTCAAGTCATGGACATTTTTGGAGACATCCGCCTCCAGCCTGAAATCATAGATGAACAAAATGAAGATCTTCATAGGCTGGGTTTCATGACCTAACATACATTCCATTAATGATTGCATCTTTAATTTGTTGTACTATGTACAATGACAATAAAGTATATTCTATTCTATTCTAATTCAAATTAGTGTCACATTTCTGAGCACCATTAGATTCACGAGAAGGAGAGTACAGGAAGCTTTCTGTGCCCCCTTCCCTTCCCTCCTCCAGAGCAAAGTAGTTTAGTGGATTGAAACTCGCTGGCTAACAGCCTGTCCTAACCTGTGGATCAGCAAACGAAGTTATCAAAGACATAATCTGACCTCTGTAAGGCTGATAGCAGATTCTCACATATATTCAGGAAGGAACTGGATGTGACACTCCTGTTTCCCTACCGCTTTAAGATAAAGTGGGAGTGGCCATAGACATATAGTTTTCCATCTTTGTTCATGCTGACTGGACTAGTAAGGGTTAAGCTAGAGACAGAGGACAACTTGCTTGTGTAGGGTGGCTGATGGCCATTCCCCCAGTGTCCACAGGCAAATCAGAACAATAGGAGATGTTTCGGGGTGAGCTGCCAAGCATCCACATGGGATTCTTCCTATGTTCTCATCTCATGTCTTTCTAGCGTCCTTCTTATCAGAACAATTTGCAGTTGTGATGGTGGCCACGATGCCTTAATGTAAAGTGTGTAGGCAGAAAATAACATTGCCTTCAGCTTCTCTACCTCAAGAGTAACTTCAGTAGCCATTATGACTAGGCTGGGATGAAAGGAGGGGAAATATTGTATGGAGGAAGTGTTCTGTTGCTGCAGTGCTTGGCTTAGGGTTGGCCCGCTGTCTGGAAGAGTCGCTGATCCATATCCTAGTCTTTCTGCAATATATTCCATTCCCTGACTGGGAAAACAAGCCATGTTGCTTGCTAGAGCAGGAATCACTGAGGCTCTGCCTATTTCCGGCAGAGCTGGCTTTGAGGCTGGGTGTTTGCCAGAGCCCTACAACTGGCAAAGAGCCCTCCACTCCAATGACATCAACATTCTCAGTTTGCCCGGAACACCCAAACAAGTCAGCGCTCCTCTCTTCCCTCTGGGAATCCCATCATCTGACTCTGCAGTTACTAGTTCTCACTCAGATTCCATCTATTCAAATTCCTGGACTTCCTTATCCATGCTGTTGCCACCACACACCATTCAAGAGATTTCCCCCAAGGACAGGCAGTTATGTCTTCACCCCCAAAGCATTCCAACAACATCGGAATTCTACCAAGTGCTTCAGTGCCGGTTAGTAATCCCTGCCCTAGAAAGTCTGGTCCAAACTTTTGCATTATAATATCTCACAGTTCACCCAGTACATTGGTATCCTCATCCTTCCCAAGGAGCTCAGGGCAACGTGGCTGGTTCTCTCCCAATTTTATTCTCAAAATTTTGTGAGATACGTTGGGCCGGGAGAGAGTCACTGGCCCATGGCCACTCAGGGAGCTTCTATGGCAGAGTAGCGATTCCAACCTGGTCTCCCTGGCCCTACTCCAGCACTCTAATCACGATGCCACACTGGCTTGGCATTTTGCATCCAGTAGCTCTGTCACATGTGTCTGTGACAGGCAGTACAAATAATTACATGTAATATGTCAGCTAAAATTTTGGACTGAACAGATCTGGCTTAAATCCAGTTTTTCCGAACTGTAGATTGTACTCTTCAGTTAACAGGTGTCCTAATGATATAAGGAACAGCCCTACTGGAGTAGTGCTAAGATTATCTAACAGTGGTCACATGGACACCCACATAAAGTTGCCTTTATCACAGACCCTTTGTCACAATCATTATAGTCTATTCTGAGTGGCAACAGCTGTCCAGGATTTCACGTAAAGGTCTTTTACATCACCTGAACCATTTTAACTGGAGCACTGAGCCATAGCCCATCCCCAAAGCCAACTGTGTTGTAGGACACAACTGGTACATGAAGTAGCCCCCTCTATTGTTCCTCCCCCAGAACCTGAATATTACAGCTATGTGTACTAACAGGTAAGCAACTTAGCATGACTTTTATATTGCTGTAGACTAGTGAAACTATCACAGTACAGTACCTCACTGGAAAGCTATTGCAAAGTCTTAAGGGACAAACCCACACAGTGCTGACATCTAATTCCTCTATGCCAGTATCACGTATCTTGATTCATTCCCACCTATTCTATGTATAAGTTGTAAATTCTCCTTACCCAGCTTCATCAGCTGTTTGGTGGCTAACAGGAAGCAAAGTCGCAATGACCAATCCCAAAACACAAAGCCATTCTATCTTGTTCATCTCTGCTTCTCGACAGACGCACAACTGGCAAATCCGATCCAACAGCTGCTTCTGGAGAGGCAAGCTACCCAGTTGTCTAGAAAGGTAACTCGCCAAACAACATCAGCAGATGCCCTGAAATAGGGAGACAGCTGAGAGCTCCACCCCTGCTCCGCCCCCTTACATGCACCAGCCCCTCCCACTTGCCCTGCTCTGAGCCATATTAGATTTAAAGAGGCTGACTCTCATACCAGGGGATCTATAGGTGCACCAAAAGAGCAAATCCCAAAACCTGTTTGCCAGCGTTTAATAACAGACTGGGTAGTGTTGCGGATCAGAGAACTGGTCAATTACAAATTTCATTTGCTGTAGTTGTCTTCTTCTAGCTAATGCTGCGATATTAAAGCTTGATATGCCCACCACCACCACCGCCACCCTTCATTTCTCTATAAGCTGAATAGGATGGTTGCTGTGGAATGCAGAGAGTCCGCAGTGAAGATTGCTTATGCATCCTTGCAGATCCATATTGTCACAGAAACAAGATTCTCCTTAAATGTGGGGTCTGTTTCTTTTGGGCATATTCATAGTGGCTTCACACTGTTGTGTGATCTTGCTTTTAAGTTTTCTAACAGAAGACCAAAATGTTGCTGAAACACAAGGCAGTAGTGTTGGATTTTGGAGTTGTTTATAGGATTGCATTCTCACTGGGTCCATACAGAGGATACGGCTGTTTCTGTGTCCTTCAGCAACATTTTCTCCATGACTATAAAAGAAATCAGCCCCATTCTTCTACTCCACTCCCACCCCCAGCAACCCCAGATCAAGCGGGGGGGGGGGGATTATTTGCACAGAATCACAGAGTTATTGCATTCCAAAGTAACCATACCAGGTTGTTCTGAGGATAAGGGGGGAGGGAGAACTATGGATACCATCTGAAGACTTTTATTCTTGCAAAGCTACCTTTTTGTCCAATAATATGTTTGTGCTTTTTAGGGCATCACAAGCTACAATCAATGTATCATTTTCAAATGGTTTTCCAGTAGGGAACTACAAATACATGAATACATTCGAAGTCTGGGGCGAAGCACAACCACTAATTTCAAGCATAATACAATGCAAGGGGGGTTATACTGTGATAGTGAGAGCCAACATGATGTAATGGACATTAACCATGTCCAGTTAGGATCTTCGAGAGCCAGGTTTGAATCCCCTCTCTGTCATGGGAGTTTGTTGGGTGACCTTGGGCCAGTCACATAATCTCAGCCTAACCTACCTCACAGGGTCGTTATATGGTGGAGAGGGAAATGATGTAAGATGATTTGGGTCCCTATTGGGGAGAAAAGTGGGGTATAATGAAGTAAATAAATCAATGATAATACTGAGATAGCTCACTGGTCGATCTAGCACAGTATTGTCTTATTCGACAGGCAGAAAATGGATTTTTCCCAACAGCTGCTATAAAAGATCCTTTAGTAGGAGATGCCAGGTATTGAACCTGCAAGTAGGCACTCTGCCACTGAACCACGGAGCCTCCCCCTTGTATACATATCTCCCAAGTGCGACTCATCAGAAAAAGCACAGATAGTGACTAGGGTTTGAGGAAGGGATTATCAGATTTCAGAACCAGTTTCTGAGCCTGTCTTGCTAGACGAGGGCAGGCAGTGCCAAACCACCTCTGACTGTCTGTTGCCTTGGAAACCATACGGGGTCGCATGAGTTGGTTGAGACTTGATGGCACTTTATAATACATTCAGATAGGCACCTATGGCCACTGCTGTATCTTCTGAGAGTCAGTGTGGTGTAGTGGTTAAGAGCAGCAGACTCTAATCCGGAGAACCAAGTTTGATTCCCCACTCCTCCTTCACATGAAGCCTGCTGGGCCTTTCACAGTTCTCTCAGAACTCTCTCAGCTCCGCCTGCCTCACAAGCAATGCTCCCTCTAAGCTATGGAGTCTTGTGAGCAAAAATTCTACTTTGTCAACTACTGGCATTAAAGTTGTGAGTGAGCAATTTGGCTGCTGCATAAATTAGCTTGCTCTGGAGCCATCCTTCCTGAGCTGAGACAAAAATGTGTCAGTCGGAGGCGAAAAAACTGTGAGCTAGCTCTCACTAACTCAGCTTAGAGGGAACACTGCTCACAAGGTGCCTAATGTGGGGAGGGGAAGGGACAGAGATTGTAACCGCTTTGAGGCTCCTCAAGGTATAGAAAAGCAGAATATAAAAACCAAATCTTCTTCTGCTCTTCTTCTTGGCCTCTTACCTCCTCACTTGAATATATATTGCATAGTTTCTTTGAGCACTTGGAATATTTGGCCTTTACCATTGGTTTCTGACGTTATACTGAATGCTTCATATTCTTTTGACTAGCTGAGTTTCCTCATTCTCTAGCACAGCTGTTTGTATTATTCTTCTCGATAAATTTTGTTTCTGCTTTCACTTTCTCCAGATTTTACATATTCATTCCAAACATGTAGAGGCACCTCACTTACTTTTCCAAAAATCCCTTATAGCTGTTTATATGAGTCACTGCTCAGATTAGGGGCATTTCCTTAAGTCAAGTGTAGAACCTAAGCCAGCAGCTCCCGTAGCGTAGGCGTGAGAGATGACAGAAGGAGGGTTTTCTTCCTTATGCTCAAGTTATTATAATGTGGATTTGGGCCCAACTGGAAAGTGAGTCACATTCCCACTGACACAAGTCTAATATGCATGTGTCTCCCTGACCACACATGATAAAACTGAGATATGCTAACAGCTGAGATGTTTTCCACTGATGGAAGGGATTTCCATCAGCACAGAACAGTATGAGGGGAGAGCTCCTGATTGATTGAAGCCTTGATGGGCAACATACTAAGCACTTTTGTGCTTTCGCACTAATTCTGCTACAGGATCAGGTAATGCTGGATGATAAGTAACAACTAATATACCTGAGTAAATCTTTTCACTTCCCAGAGAAGAGGCATTAATTCCCTGATATCACATTTGTGTCGTTTAAGTGACTTGTCAGATACAGATGTGCTCACTGCTGATTTTCTCTTTGTGCAGAATAAGAAGAGTTGGGTTTTTTTATATCCCACTCTTCACTACCCAAAGGAGTCTCGGAGCAGCTTACAATCATCTTCCCTTCCTCTCCCCACAACAGACACCCTGTGAGGTAGGTGGGGCTGAGAGAGCTCTGAGAGAACTGTGACTGACCCAAGGTCACCCAGCTGGCTTCATGTGGTGGAGCGGGGAGTCAAACCCAGTTCTTCACATTTGAGTCCACTGCTCTTAACCACTACACCAAACTGGTGCTGGATGGGTCCTTTAAATGACTGGTATTGAATATATTGCACACCTGCTTTTTGTGCCTGCACAGTCAAGCAGCATCTTGAACTGAATGCAAGAACAGAACAAAACTTCATGGTCAGATATCAAGGGCACACAGAGAAATCAAAGTAGTAAGTCTCAACTCAAAAATCTCAAATTATTTCACCCACCCCCTTTTAACTACGTACCTTTTAACAATTGGAAGAGGCAGCAGATGGGGGAAGATCCAACAAAGCAGTCTAATCATGTGAAAAAGCACTCTAATCATACAAATGAATACAACCAAATTTGTTTTAATATATGTGAACAACTCAAGAAAAAAAATTACTCATGTCCAGCAAGTAGGACACTAGTTGAACCAGCAGGTCTTCCAGCTTAATGAATATGTGCATAAAAGTAGAATCCATTTTCCCACTCAGGAAATTTGCTCAAACTGGTTAAAAATAATCTGTGTACGATTTTGTATTGTGTGGTTTTCTGTTGCTGATTATGATTCTTTGAGAACTGGAATTGTGTCTGTTGCTTCTATGTTCCTTTATGCTCTGTTTTGTTGGTCACAGATTCCACCCTTGTCTCCATCCATATTCAGGGTTTGGTCCATTTGCAAATTAATCAGAGGTGAGTTGGCAGAAGAGTAGGTAGGAATGGGACACACAGTAAGCACAACAGCCATCTTCTAAGGTGTGCCACAGGCTCAGAGAGACGATCCCTGGAACAATGGATATCCCAAGAGGAAACTCACTCAATCATGTACTGAAGGTTCTTAGGATATTGTTCAAGGTATTTCAATTCAAGTTCACGTCATGTTTATTACAATCCAAGATCAGAGTATTTCAATTCATTTAAGATGCTCCTAGGCATAATACTCTGTTGTCTTGCTGCATTCTTTTCTAACAAAAGAGATCCAAGTGATATCAACCTGTAATGACTGAAGTTTTCTCTCGCATGACTGTCCACATACCAGTGTGGTAATTCAGTCCACCTCTAGCACACCTCCTTCTTGCCCTAAACCTTTGTCCCTTTCCTTATTTGCCGAAGTAACTAGGGTCCATGTACGCCTCATTTTCCCAATGCAGCCTCTTTCTCCTTTTGTCATTTGGAAATTTTTCCACACCAGGACACCTCCCTTACCAGACCTCCGGTCAGTTGGCTGTCCAGTCAGTTAGGCACAATCAGTTAGCTCCCAACCATTTAAACCAAACAGCTGGGCTGTTTTTTTGTGAAGAGCCGAAAGCATCAAAATTTGTGAAAGTTTGTGGCAGTGCTTCAGTTTGTAAACATTGCTTCCTGAACCAGCCAAAGTTCATGATGAGCTTTGGTTCGTCAGCCAGTCTGTGCCCATCCCTACTCTAAACTTCCCTGTTGATGCAAATCTAAAGGTGATCAGTTGCCCAGATGTTTTGGCACTCTCCCCAGAAAAACCTCACCATTCAGGATAGATGATATACCTCTCTGCTTTCCTTGACTCTCCCTCCCTCTCTTCCTTTCACCTGAGTTTACAATTGCACACGTGTGTGTGGATGTTAGAATAATATGCATGTTTTATTGTGTTGGAAGGGGGTGAGACTGGATGCTACATGTACTATATATTATTATTCTGTTCTAATTGCATAACTGGTATCAAATACACTATCCCTGTTTGCTATCATTCCCTGATCTGGATGGCCCAGGCTAGCCTGATCTCAGAAGCTAAGCATCGTCAGTCCTGATTAAAATTTGGATGGGCTACCACCAAGGATGTCCAGGGTTGCAGAGTCAGGTAATGGCCAACCACCTCTGTTCACCTCTTGCCTT